AATTAGGGTCATGTGTTCTCCTGGAAATTTGTTGTAGTTTGAAAGTTTCCTCAGTTACTCTACATTTATTGACTGAACTCTTGCTTTTAATTGTCTCAGGTTCTGCAGGTTCTGGATCTGAATTATAGGCATTCTATTTCCATATATATATATATATATATATATATATATATATATATATACTGGATTCTAGATTAGTCCTTCCTAAATCTGATCTGAGTAAAATTGGGCTCAGAGCTCATTGCTTCTCTTAGTGAGCCTGAATATACACATACAGCCACCCATAGCATAAGTGAGCAATTTAGATATCCTCATATGAGGAAGATGGATGATCTAGTTAACATTTTACAAGGCACATTGAACAAAATCAACAGATATTCTGGCCTCTCAACTAACCCTGCACTGGAGGGTTTTCTTTTCCTGGCTTTTTGGTGTGTCTCTGCTCTCTTGGTGTGCTCCCTTTGACAGCAGCTCCTACATTATTGAGAATATGGTTTAAACATGTCTGAGTATTAGACCATCCCTATTAAGGCTTGCATTGCTCATCTTTTTTTTTTGTTGTTTGTTTGTTTTTGTTGTTTTTTTTGAGACAGGGTTTCTCCGCGGCTTTTTGAGGCTGTGCTGGAACTAACTCTTTGTAGATCAGACTGGTCTCAAACTCATAGAGATCTGCCTGCCTCTGCCTCCTGAGTGCTGGGATTAAAGGCATGTGCCACCACTGCCTGGCTCTGCCCTGTTCATCTTAAGCTCTATCACTTTAGTCTTCTATATGAGATGTTCTCCTTTCCTCAATATATAATCCTGTGAAGTAACAGAAATAACTTTTCTCTCTGATTATTTCTCTGTCCTATTTATTAGTATTGAATGTATATTCCTTATTAGCCATAACAGTTGCACTCATTCAGGTGACCCAAATACAGGGCACAGCACTGGTAGGGAATGGAATGGATAGTGTCATCACTTGCCTGTGGAAGTTTGTGAGTCAACAGGCCCTGAGGACTTGGCCAGAAGACAGGCTTTGCTTTCCAGGGCCCACATGTTTCCCAGCTCTGAGAAGCACATTCCACAACACTCTATATTTCTAATCAGACGGCTACAAACTTGTTGAGGTAGAAGTGATCACAGTGATCCAGATAATTATATCTTGAATTTATAGGACACTTTTCTGAGGAGCTCAGAATTTGTCCATGGCTCTAAGACTCCCCACTACCTCCCTTCCCTGAGTCCCATCTTCTAAACAGAAGTGATTATAACTATAAGTAAGACATTCTGTGAGTTTATGAGGGCTTTGTTAGATGGAGTTCTTGGAACACTCTCCCTGTAACTCTGGGAATGATGAATAAGAAGCTGGCAGTGAGCTCTGGCTCCTGCGATGGTTGTAATGTAGTTTGCTCTCTGCCTGAGTAAAGTGTTAAGACATGCGTCAGGTATTGTTAGAGATGGTGTTCAGCAACTGTCAGCCCCCAAATAATTACAGACCACAGGCATCTCAGATGTGCTCCACAGGGGCTGAAACCGCCTTCCACCACTGTTTTGTTGGCACTGTAGAGCAAGAATGTAAAGGATGGTCCTAGGCTCACCTGAGGCTACTAATTATACTGTGGCTCTTCTCTACCATGTACACATCAAATGTTCTGTATTGTAGACTGGAAATTTTAGAGGAAAAGAAAGAAGTCAATGCAGATTAAGGTCACCATCGACTTCCTCAATGGCTCGTGTGTGTGTGTGTGTGTGTGTGTGTGTGGGGGGGGGGGAGAGAGAGAGAGAGAGAGAGAGAGAGAGAGACAGAGACAGAGACACAGAGACAGAGACACAGAGAGACAGAGGGATCAACATCTTAACATCTTGCAACACCTTTAAGTCAATGTAGAAAAGGAAAAGTGGTATAAACATGATTCCAGTCAAAATGATCTCTTCAAATTGTTGCTAAACAATGGAAGGATGTCCTTGATGGTGTCACAATGACTCCCACTGGGGTTATTTGCATCCTGTAGGTCACACATATCTTTGGTAGGCTGATTTCAAGGCATGTTTTACAAAATAACCACACAGAAAAGTATACACATCAAGAGACTTCAGACTTCATTGACATTCCTTAAATAATGCCTTCATTCAGGAAGGGCTGGTCTTCATGTGCCTGAGAGACCATCATTTTAGGCCAGCAAAGCTCCTTCTTACGCAGAGAAAATGAAAGCCCTTTGAAGATTGATGCATCATCTGTGGGTCTTCATTCATTTTGCAAGGGCACAACCACGCTGTTTCCTGCTCTGAAGCAATTTAAGGAGAGCGAGTATCAGCCTCGCTTGAGAGAAATGAATCATGATTCAGAACTCTCTAGACTTCCCATATTTGCCCAGCCTCCAGATCATTATGCCCAAACTCTGCTCCTCCAGAGACCACTGGGAGTTAATACTGAGTCTTGAAGCAAATATGAAAATATATGAAGAGGTCAGACCTTTTGCCCAAGCCATCAGTGTGTTTTGGTTAGCATGTAAGAACATTTTGAAATGGCATTTGGAGTCCCTTGGAATACTTCTTTAGACAAGTATAGCACACACAACATTATATTTCCCTAAAGTGCATTTTTAACATGGCTCAGGCTCATTTACAGGAAAACAAAGCTGTCCTTTTGTAGCTTTCTGGCCCAGGCCCCTAATGAGACTTTGCTTTGCTAATCTCCAACTCCTGTAAGTGGCTTCTTTTTTTTTTTTTTTTTTTTTTTTTTTTTTTTTTTTTTTTTTTCCCTTGCATTTGGGCTTACAGCTGTGTGGCTTTGGCACTGAGATTCTTTCTTTAAGCTTTGTTTAAAGGCAATCCATTTGATCAAAGAGTTCTACCCTCTGACTTCATCTTTTATCATTCCCCAGTCAGACCTGGGCTATGGGTAGAATCCTGCCGTTATTTTATTTAACATAAAAAATGATTTCATTTTCCTGCCAGAAGCAGGTCTTACTGATCATTTCGCTTGCCACCTAGCAGCCTGGAGAATCATAGCTTTTACATAACTTGCAGTAGTGGGAAATGGCAGATCATCCTAATTAAGAAAAAAAAAAAAAACACGGACAGGGAGAAAGACTACAACATAGAACAGGAAGAATAGCAACTCTGGTGAAGTCATTATTCCCATAGTCCTAGAGACTGAGAAATTGTCAAGGCCGCAGGAAGTGCTTTCAAGGGCAGACTCTATGCAGCTCAGTGCATTTGGTCTTCCACCTCTCTTTCTTCACTTCAAGTGAGGATTTCAATTTAATCCAGTGCCACAATACCAGCAGCTCAGAAGAAAACATTGTGAATTCAGAACAGAAAAATCATCTAACTATTGCAGTCACCACATTTGGGTTCAGGAGGTCTGAATATATTTCCCCCTAGGCATTCTTTCTTCTTTTTTCCCAACTTCAAACCGTCAGTCAGTATCTTCTATTTGAAAACTCAAGAGTTGATAGAAGAGAGGGCAATGCCTGTGTACCATGGCTGCTTTAGATGATACCTCACGTGTTAACTTGGGTTCCCAACTGTTACCCAATTGTTGGAATGCCTTGATTATAGCCCCGAGCCATGGAAATAAGCATCATACAGGGTACTGTGGCATGAGTGCTAACTCAGAATGTAGACATCTAGAAAATACAAGATTAGCAGCAAACTGTAGCCGGTTTTATATATGTGCTGCCTATAATTGATATCATGTGTTCTATGAACAGGCTTTGACAAAAGGAACCACTAAGCAAGTCTCTGGAACCATAGACACAACTTTGGCATCAGATGAACATACACGTGTAAACACATTAAGAAATAGCACTGGCAGGTGGGTATTTCATGATACTCACAAGCTCAGTGGCTTCCAATTGTAGTGAGCAGATGAACAGCCCACATCTAAAAGCAACTGTGGACAAACTTCTGGCCAAAGAATATCAAGAATCTCCCATCCTGAAATGTTACAGAAATATTCTTTAGCATGAAATACTACCTGTAGTATTGTTATGGCATTTAAAGGATTTACCTGAAAGGAAGGAAGGAAGGATACTACTGTTCTTTCAACCAAACAAAGGGAAGATATGACTTTCTGTTTTGGCTAGAAAGAAACTAGAAAAATAATTTCAATGTAGTAGGTGTTGCTTATCAACCCCCCCCCCCCCCCCGTGTGTGTGTGTGTGTGTGTGTGTGTGTGTGTGTGTGTCACATTTATTGTCACTAGAGTAAAGATATTATAACCTTTTAGAATTAGATACGAAGAAAATGATGAAACACATTCATACTCATGGTTTTTTATTCCTATTCTATTTGCCATTTCTTTACTAAGTACTTTAAATGTTTAAACTCATATAAAACTGCCCAGAAAAGGTGACTATTTTGTCCTAATTTTAGAAATCAAGAAATTGGAATGTGCAATGCTGGAATTATTTTTCCAAGTCAACACAGCAAAACTAGAAGGACAAGATTAATACGCAATCCCTTCTACAAGCTCTAATAACCAAGTGGCTCAGCTATGATAAGCTTTACTGGCTAGAAATCTTAGCAGTTGTAACTTGCAGGTCATGTGAAATAGGGTGAGCCAATGAATCACCACTAGCTATTGCAATACCCCCAAGCTGACAGTATTCACCAGGGAAATAACCACATTTACAGAATGAAATCTAGTATCAGGTGTTTGGAGTCTCGTCCTGGTGTACTGGAGGAAGTGCTATGTTCATTCATGCCTATATTATACAATACATAAGAGGTTTGACCATGCAACTTTCCTGAACTTATAATCAAGAAACTTTATAGAAATGTGAACACTGCTTTTCATATGAATAAATAAATTCTTAGATCGTTTTCCTTTGTAATTGAGCTCCTGTTTAATTAAAAGTATACCTAGCTATCATTTTTGTCAAAATTGTTTCCAATTTAGAAAGAGAGATCCCTGAAGTTATTGTCAACCAAGATCACATGGTTTTAGGTTTTGATAGTGATTGACCTAGAAAAATCATAAGGTATCTTAATATAAATCACAGACAAAAGATATATTGTATAAAAGAGGAGGCTTGCATCTCCATTAATAAGGATAGAAGAGGCTGTGGAGCATAAAATATGAATAAACATGCAGCATTGCCACATATTTTGTGTCACATAACCACTGGTATTTCATTTAAAAAAAAATGAAACTAAAAGGTGGACAAAAGATCCTGTGAAAAAGTTTTGAAAACATTCTCATATTGTCCCCAAAAGCCCTTTCCAAGTAACTTAATTAAACATATTTTTTTATTGTACAATTTAAAGCCTATGGCACTTCTTTACTGGGTATATGAGGGGTCCGGCTCTTGGAGGACATCCCAAATATCAGTGTGTACCCTTGTATTTCCCAGTGTCCTCTACAGTATCAGACCATTTTGCTATAACCAGATATAAACCTCTTTCTTGCCAAGCTCCTATCTTAGTCATTTTCCAAGCCCAGACTCCCCAGCCTGTGCATCTGGAAGTGCAAGTCTCTGAAATAGTAAAGTCAACCAATAGGAGAGCTTCTGCTCCATCAGTGCCTGCTGAGAGCACAAGTGGAGGCTGTGGTTGTTGTGTGAAAGGATACATGTATAAACACTAGCTAATGGTGCCATCTGGGGAGCTTGTGGGATATTTAGTGAGGAGGGCCTAGTTGGAGGAAGTGGATCACTGTGGGCTGGGTCATGAGCTTTAGACTCCACCCTCCTCATCACCTGGGTTTTCTCTGACTTTTGGTGGATGACAGATGGAAAGAGCAGTGGCTCCACGCTTCTGTCATCATTGATACAACTCCCCACTGCCAAGGTTCTCTGTCCTGAAAGACTATAGCTTGAACTGTCAGCCAAAATAAATTGTCTCTCCCTGAAGTTGCATTTGTATGGAAAGTATTTGGTCACAGTGATGACAAAAGTAGCTAATACAGCCTCTTGACTATGACACTCTGTAATTTCTGATGGATGAGAATGAACCTGGGTTAACCAAAAAGAATTGTTCCAAAGGCTGTCAGCCTTATTTTATGACTTTTGATTTACTAAGTATTTATAAAGTTCCTGTAAAGATGGATAACATAATGAACAAAGGACACACTCAATACCCTCTTTACATGAATTTGACCTGGAGCCTATGAAGTACTCTGTTTACCTGTTAGCACAAGAAGATAGTCAAACAAGTGTTTCACAATATGCCTATGTTGTTATATATCCATTATTATACTACATATGCACTCATATGTATATATTTATCATATATCTCATGTAAACACACTCTTATTGGGGTCCGTACATTAGCCTACTGAATATATAGAGTATGGATTTTATAATGACTACTTCCTAGGTACCGTATATGGAAAAAGTCCAATCAGAGAAACACAAATCAAAACTCCCTTGAGATTCCACCTCACCCAAGTCTTAATGGTAGTCATTGAGAAAATAAATAACAAAAAGGATGACAGGGAGTGGATAAAGGTGAGCCCTTACACAGTGCTAATGAGAATGAAAACAGGTTAAACCACTTTGGAAATCAGCACGCAGCTTTCTCATAAAACTAAAAATAGATCTATGAGGTGACAAAGCTGCAAAAGTCTTTGGTATTTACCCAAAAGACTTCAAGTCAATATATCACACTAGTGCAATAAAATTATGTAGCCAGCCATTGTATCTAACAACAGAGGAAAGGATAAAGAAAATGTAGTGCACAACAGAGTGTTTTCCACTTGTTACCAATGTAAACTTACATCACGTGCAGGAAATGCACGCAACTAGTAACAAGCATACTAAGTGAATTAAGCCAGTCTCAGAAAAGAAAATATCGTTTGTGTTTTCTCAAAGCAAATATTGCATGTGTGGTTCCTAGATGTTTAATCAATACATAAAGTAAGATCTGTATATGTGATATGAAAATAGAAGAGAACCTATCTAGAGGACCAAAAAAGTCTAATGGGAATAAGAAGAGAAGTGGGGGTATGAGAAAGATATGCTTGTGTGTAGTATATACCTGCATGAAAGTGTCCTCATGTAGCACAGGATCAAGTAGCATGAAAATGCACAATAAAATTGTCAAAATAAAAGTCAAGAAAAAGAATGCTGTGAGACACGAAACTTGAGTTAATCATTTGGTGTTCACAGCAGATTCCTAGCGGTGTTTCTTCTCCTTGGGGGAACAGAACAGAAGATTCAGTCATGTAGAATCATGGGCTGACAGGCCTACAGAGTTAGCTTAATTTAGCCTTTTATATTGAAAGCATAGACCTATAGAATTCCAGTTTGACACCCAACATGATGGCCTCTGCACATTATTATTAAGCAAGCATGAGATTTTCCCAAGATAGAAAGCTATTATACTGATTTATTGATCTTCCAGAAGCCCCTCCATACTCAACTGAATTAGATAGCCAAAGAAATCCTCCCAACAATGGTGGGTTTCGAATCAAATCCCAGGACGTGAGGGTCACAACAATGATTGGCATGAGAAGTTAGATGAAATACTACATGACAAACATAGTTGAAATCAGCTATATACCTATAGAAAGAAGAGAATTGAACCAGTTATAGTGGTGTGCCCTTGTCATCCTAGGTTTCAGGAGAGTGGGATGTCAGGGTCAAGGCCAGCCTGGGATACATAGAAGGCCCAATCAAACAACAACAACAAAGCAAAAAAAAGACAGAGAGAAAGGGAGGAGGAGAGAATGAAGAAGAGGAGAGGCAAAGAAGATTAGAAGGAGGGAGAGAGAAAGGGAGAGGAGATAGGAAGCAAGCAAACAAAAGGAATAGCATTCCAAGGCTGGCATATTAATGTTCAACCTGGTACATATCTAGTAAGATTGATACAAAAGAGGATTATGAATTCAGAGGCAAGGTCTAGCCTAGCACTGAGCTGATCCAGGATTCCAGGTCTGGGTAACATTTAAATTTCACATGCCACGTTTGGTTTACCTTTCAGATACAAATATCTTCCTGAAAACCCACCCCCAGGGCCATACCTCCTCCTGCAAAGCCTAACCTCCTCCAACAAGGACACACCTCCCAATCCTTTCCTGACAGCTCTTCAACTGGAGACTAAGCATGCAAGTATATGAACCTGGGGGCCAGTCTCACTCAGACCACTGCACAGATTAAGGCCCTTTCTCTGTGAGAGAAGACAGAAAGTTGGAGCTCTCATGATAATTGCAAGATACTATCCTAACAGATCCCAAAGTTGTCATCTATTAAGAAACAGCAAGATCTAAAGAAGAGGGTAGCACCAGGTATTTCCCAAGCTCAAGTGTGAAGCTGTGTAGCCGACTGACAATTTCTGCCAAGTATGATCACCTTCATTCAGCTGGATTTGCCCTTGGCCTCCTGCAGGGGCAAGACCTCCTCCCCCATCACATGTTAGTATTTGTCTATTCAGTCGATGAAATGGATTAGTCCATGGTTGGAATCTGCTTCTTGGTAAAATATTCCAGCAAAAGAGTTGTTTTACTGCACTTTCCCCTCCCAACCAAGTCCAGAGAATGCAACCCAGCTTCCTAGACTCCAGCCTGCTGCCCGGAGTCCTTTACCACCCAATGCTTGGTTGCTATCAGGCAGACTGTTCTGTGGCGCACAGCTGGGGTCCACTTTCTATCTGCTAAGACCATTTAAGCGTGTTCTGCTCCATTGCTCAGCATTAAAAGAGTCTGTAGGCAAATCATTTTTGTCACAAATGTACAACCTAGCTCAGGTTGAGACATTCTTGAGCAGCTTGAGCTCTGGACACATACAGGCACCTGAACAAGTTAAGTGACTTTATCACAAGGTTAGTTACCACATTTTCACTGTTGTCTAGACTTTTTATAAATAGATAATTATAGATAGATAGATAGATAGATAGATAGATAGATAGATAGATAGATACACAATTTTTTCTTGTTGCATTATCTGTCCACATGTGGCTTAGATACTAATGACGGTGTTGAACATATAATCATATCAAACATAACATCACCTTACAATGAATTCCAAACAGAGAGTCTTGCTTCTTTTTCTTTTTTTTTCCGTATTTCAGTTTTAGTTTCTTGAAATTATTCTAGCTCCAAAGATTGTGCTCCTATGCAAACTAAGGAACAGGCTGATGTTAAGTGGCCTGTGCTGCCATCTGAGCCCATGGTGATCCATGATGCCCCCAAGGGTAATTTCTGAGGCTGTTGGCATGCTGTAGTCAGGATCTGTGCTGGTGTCCGTAGCCTGTGTTGCCAGCAAAGGCCATGTGGATGTCCATGGTCTAGGCTCCAAAGTCATGTTGATGTGAGTGGCCTGTGCTGCCTTCCATCTGAGGCCAAGTTGATGTCCATGATTCAGGCTGCCTCCCAGGGCCTTGCCTGCATCTGTGGCCCTACTGCAGCAGAGGGCTTTGTTCATGGTCTGTGGTATCACCACAATTCTTGTGGAAGCCCATGGTCTGTGCTCCTGCTGACTCCTACTGACTTGCTGCAAAAATAACAAGGAGGCTACTTTTGCAGTGATACCAACGATTGAAGATGCACAGTTGAGAAAGAGGGACATGGAAGGCTTCTATGACAACCCCTAACCCCACCTCACCCCACCCCACTCTAAAAAACAAACAACCTAAAGAAATCCATCAAAAAGAACTCTTAAAAAATGTGCTAAGGATGCTGAATTTGGCTCTCCACAATTGATGGCTTCTGGCCAGGATGCGACTCAGTCCTATTTAAGGGGCAGGGCCGCTTTGAATTTGACCATGCTCCATTGAGTATATAGGTAACACAAATTGGACTTATTTTTTGTTTTGTTTTCTTCTTTATTTATTTGGTTTTAATTTGGAGAGGGCAGGAAGTCACAAGGGTGGGGACATACATGGAAGGACTGGGAAATGAGTGTGAGTACCTGGTATGAAATTCCCAAAGATTCAATAAAAATATTCTTTAAGAAGCATACTCACATGTAGAGATATCTTCCCATATATACAGCACAGAAACACTTCAAACTATTCCAGCATTCTTAGAGTCAGTGAATAGCAGCTGTATTGAAGAAAATGCTGGGAGAAGCCCAAGCCAGGACCGAGAGTTCTAAAGACACCCATAGTTTCATTATTCAAGAAAGGGGAACATTTGATTTCAGTCAAGTAATAAAAACAGGAAATCAAGCATTGGTTAAACTAGCCAAAGAACAT